GGAAGAATATGCCCCGGGTGTCCAGGGCAAATGGACTTAGAGGTTCAGCCAACGTGTGGAGAAAGTAGACAGAGGGGCCAGGGAGAAGAAAACTTTTGGGACTTAGAATCCAGAAAGTGGGCACGTTTGTCAGTGAATTTGCAGAAGACTGCCAACCTCTGTCCTTTGTAAAAACCTAGTCACAAGTGTCTTGTTATAGCAACTGAAAACAGACCAAGACGTGTGGCTTTCAGCCACTGGGTTGGGTGATGGATCCTAACGGCTCAGTGAGACCACAGTAAGGAAAACCGTCCTAGCTACAGCCGGATTGCAGGTGAGAAGTAAGGGGCATGGGCTCCATCCTTTCTTCACGGTCTCCCTTTTCCCAATCCCACCTACCTGGACCTAGCCAACTTGCAGGTTCCTGCATGCTGGAAAGAGAGAAGACTGACTACGTACATGAGGAAGCTCAAGAGAGCATGCTAAACCGGGTAAGACAGTCACAACCCCACAGAGCTACCCCCCAGATCTCTGGGCGCTAACCACACACCATTTGGCAGAGCAGGGGGAGGTCTGTTAAGACCCCATCCAGTAAGAGGATGAGTTTAGGAACTGAGACGTCTTGGTGCAGGACACACCCAGGGAGGCCAGTGTATTCTGAGCACCAGCCCTTGAGGAGCTCACCAGCATGTGGTGGAGGATGCAGAGGCCTGGAAGCCGCTCAGAGCAGAGCTCAGGCCGAACTCACACAGAAGGGATGGAGACAGAAGGGTTCCCACCTGACTCAGTGTTCTCTCTCGTTCTTTTTGCCTCCTTGGTGCTGGACGAGCCAAAAGAGCCCACCCCAGTGACATCAAGGACCTAACTCCTGACAGACCCACTCCAAAGACAGCCATATCCAGTGCAGGAACCATATCTCTTGGGACCTTGGACCTCCTGGACATCTGGGAAGATTCATCCCATAGAAGTGAGGGTTTCTGACATTTGCTGGAGCTTGGCAGGATCATGCAGTGGGTATGTGCTACCTAGTCCTGGCAGAACAAGGTTCTTCACTAGCTGGGAGGCCAGGGTGTGTCTCCTGACCACTCTATGCCTCAGTTTCCTCTGTAGGTTAATAAGCCTGTTCCACAGAGTTATTCCCAAGACTTGGATGTGAAGTAAGGTCCACAGTACAGTTCCAGTGAGGACCCCCTTCTCTCCCTCATCTCACCAGAGCCCCAGCCAGCTTCCTGCCTCCCCCTCTAAACACATGGGCATGAACAACAGCATCTTGTGCTGGAACTTTTCCAGGTTGGGCTGACTGGAGGCCCTGAGAATTTGTTGTGGTCAGTGATCTCTCCCCCGTTCCTGAGAGATGGTTATGTGATTCTGACACACCATAAGAGCTTCTAGAAATGTCAGTGATACCTCACCAGTGGCCTTCCCAAAGGGCAGCCATTGTGTCCTTGGGGTGCTGGTTTCTTCCAGCTTGGACAGCCATGGTGTGAACTAGGCTCAGGTAAGTGTCAAGCATGTGGTCTGCCCTACTCCATCACTGCCTCTGTCGGCCTTGAAAAAAAATGAATCTCTGTCCTCTGGGGCAGGATACGGCTGGCTGTTGGGTGGTCACGACTCTTGTAACCTTAGAGTCTTCATCCCTACAAGGTGAGGGAGACTTCCTGGCTGCTGGGAGAGATGGTGGAGGGAGGCACGGTGTCTCTGGTCTGGATACTTCTAGTCCACCTTTCCAGATGTTGCCTGTAACAGCTGCTGCTCTGTCTCCTTACTCAATTCTACAACAACACTCTGGCTCTGGGGCTTTTGGTGACATAAAGACTGCCGAGAATTTAACCGAGGTTCAAACATACGTCCCTTCCAGCCAGTGTCCTCAGACACGGAAACACATTTCCCAGCACTGCAAGACCAGCAGAGGCCGTCCTTCCCGTGTGCCTAGTTTCCATGCCGAGTACCCACAAACACAAGGCCCTTCCCAGGAGCTGCATGTCAACATGGCGCCTGTCGTTTCCTCCCAATCACTTGACGTGAGTGAAGAATGAAAAGACAGAGAAGCCAGCCCAAGGGTAGGGCATTTCCTGAGTGGGCCAGCCACAGGACTTTTGGCTCTCTGGCTCCAGAGCACGTGTCCTGAGTGTCACAGTTCCTCATCTTCTATGGGTTACTGCTTTTAGATACACGTCCCTCATCCAGGCTCCACATCCACACTCACAACATTTTGGACTCTATGAAAAGGGCTTCACATTTTTCCATGACACCTTTCTCTGCCCATTGCCTGGCTCAGTACCTAGATCCTGACTGGCACCCACAAGGCATTTGTTGACTGGTGTGGCAAAGAGGCAAAAAGGGTGAATCTCTGTTTTAGAGGGGGAATCTCCCCCAGGCTGCTTTCCAGACAGGGTCCTGCCACAGCCCAGCACAAAGCTGGTGTAGACTTGAACAGCTTCCCTTGGGGAGGTTGCAGGCTGGACCTGACCAAGAGGACCTCAAAAGTCAAGTGCACTTTGAGGACTCGACGCTAAAAAAGCATGAGGCCAGGACCCCAGTAGTAGCATACTAGCTGGGCTCTGCGGAGCACACGTCTGCCAAGAAAGAAGCAGGTGGATCGATGGGACTCTTCACACACACAGGTCCCCAAACCCTGCAATGCTGGGTCCGAGTGTCGCTTTAAGCACAGAGTGGAAGCTTATTCTTGGCACTGAAGGGAGTCGGGGGCTGGAGTTTCTGAGGGGGAGGAGAAATTGCAAAGAAAGAAGAAACCTTGAAGCGACAGATAGTGGGACAGCTGTGGCCTGAACTTGGTGTTCCTGCTCTTCGATGGAGATGTATTAATTTCCATAAATGCTAATAGTCCATCTCTCCAAGAGCTATTACTTATGTCATCTCCCCTTGGATGTGGTTCAACACAGGGCAGACAAATGGAACGGAGCAAGAGGCAAACCTCCACTGGTGGGTCCTTGGCTCCCGCCCCTCTTCCAAATGGGCAGCCCAAGTCTGGTTTCTGATATGACCCTCATACCTTTGGAGTCCAGACCACCTGCCTTTAAGACAGGTCCCTTTCACACCAGTAAGCAAAGAAAGTTATCAACCCCAAAAATGCTGAATCACAAAGTGAGACTGAGCAGCAACGGGGGGATGGGTGAGAAGGGAGATAGATGGTAGCCCTTAGGCAGGCAGCAAAGGGTGCTGGGAGGCATCCTTCAGGAGACCCCAGGACAAGTGCCAGGAGAAGCAGGTAGGGTGTTCCAGATGGGAGGGAGGGCAGGTGGGCAGGTACACCTTGCTGCAGATACTGCAGCAGGCAGCAGTGCAGCAGTTGGGCTCCGCATCCTGCAGCACAGTAGCAGCAGTAGCAGCAGTAGCAGCAGTAGCAGCAGGTAGGGAGGTGGGGATGTGCTTACTGCCAGGGCCTGGGCATAGGGGAGAAGCTGAGGGTTGGGTTAGAGGTCTAGGGACAGAGGCGGGGGGGGGGGGGGGGGAGGGGGGACGACAAGGTGTAGATGCAACGAGTGTCAAGGTGCTGAGGAGCACCGTAAAACAGAGCATTGCGGTGGTGGTGGTGGTGGTGGTGGTGGTGGTGGTGGTGGTGGTGGTGCCAGGGATCGAAGGGGCTAGGAGCAGAATGTGTGGGAAGCTAGGGTCAAGACGAAAGGGACACCCGGCAGGCAGCAAGGACGAAGGATGAGTCTAGAGGAGCAACAAGGAGAGAGATGGAGAAGACAGCTACTAGGAGTGCGCAGAGGCCGGGAGAGAGGATGGGAAGCAGAGAGGCGAGGGCGAGGTGGGGATACGGGGCGGGAAGGGGTAGAGCCGGGGATGAAGTTTGGGCTTGGGGTCTGGGATGTCGGTTGAAAGGTGGGGCAGGATGACAGGGAAGCAGAGAGGGTGGGGTGGGGGCAGGGAGACTGTGGAGAAGGAGGTGGGGAGGCTGGAGAGGAGGTGAGAACCGCGGCGGGGGCAGGGATGCAGGACTGGGGAAGAGGAGATGGAGAGGGACCGCGGTACCCGCGACAGCGCGGCCTCGCAGGTGCCCGCTGGGGTCTCCCAGCTGCACTCACCTGGGGGCCTCCAGCTCCGGATCCCGCGCCCCGTTCCGGATCTTCCTTCCCGCCCTGCCCTTGCGACTTCAGCGCCCCCGAATCCCGCTAGCTCCCGCAGGTTCCGCCCGCAGCATCTTTACCTCGTGGGACGCCCGCGGCCACGCCCCTAGCAGCCTATCATTGGCTATGGCTCACGCCAGTCACAGTCTCATTGGCGGAGGCCATTGAAGTCCATGCAAATCATGCTGCTCCCGCCGACGCGCCGATTGGCTGGCGCGCGCGGAGTCAGGGTCCTTGGACTCGGGTTCTCATTGGCCGCGCGGCTTTGACGGAGAAAGTGACGCGAGGCGGGTTCTGGGGTGAGTGCGCGGTGTCCCTCAGGCCGGGGCTCCTCGCGTGGGTGGCGGCGGATTGTTGCCCCCCTTGGCCGGTGCTGAGTCCACGAGACCTTGGGTTTCTCTGGGCACCGGCTGCCCGATCGCTGGATCCACGGTGCGGGACGTCCTCGGAAGCGTGGATCCGGTGCCCGTCTCCTAGGTAACACGCCAGCGGTGGACTGAACCAAGTGCGGGGGAAGTTTGCGTGTTTTGGAGGCGCGGGTGGCACGAAGGCGCGAAGAGACCTCAGGGTCCCGGGTGGGGCTGTACATATTGCTTCTTACTAAGGACCTGGTGTTTGCAAGGCACGGCACGGAACGCAGGGGTGGGCCTGGGTCGCGTGGGTTTCGCTGTCTCCCCCTTGCGTCGCTGTTGGTGCATCCTGGTTGCCAGCAGAAGTTGGACGTCGGGGTCTTTTTCGGTTAGTCCTCGGGTTTTCTGACCCGGTTCCCGCAGCAATCCGGGACCAAAACGGATGCGGTGTGCTCACCAGAGCCTCGAAGATGCTCACGGCCTGGTGTGCGTGCATCTTTCCCAGCCCTAGAACGTGCAGCTCGATCAGGTTCTTGCGGCGCTGGATGCACTGTGAGGCCCCTGGCCCTATCCATGTCCAGCACTCGGGGCGCAGGGTCGACCTCCCTTCCTTCATTGCTCGGAATTGCAACCCATGCTGCTGTCCGGGTTCCCGGTGTGTCTAATCTTGCCTTGGTCCGGGGAGATGCGTTCGCGGCTCACGTGGAAGTTTGTACTGACGCCGGCTTTGCAGGTTTAGGGAATGGGCAAGCTCTCCCTTTTCCAACCCTGGTCTCCTTTGCCGCTCAGCCATGCAGCTTCCGCAGGCCATAATTGTGCCTTGTGCCGCAAACTATCCTGGCACTATCTCGTTCTAGTGTTAGTACCCAGGGATCTTGGAGATTATCAGCTTTGGTGAAGACCACGTTTTAGTCCCATAGCAGAGGGTGAATGAGGGCATACCAGGCACCCCTTAATCAAACTTACAGGTAAGCCCTCCATCACACCCCCCCCTACCCCAAGTCTTCATTTCTGGGGAGCAGGCTTCCCTGAGCCTGGCACCACTGTGAAATTTCAGCCTCTGGTTTCCTCTCCCTGTTACCTGTAAATGAATCACTACAGTTTAATATTGTTGGAGATGACATTTGTCTTTTTGCCTCTGGAATACACCGGGTGTTTGGCAAACATTTATTGATTAAATCTGCAGAAATGAAGTCCCTAAGACCTCATCCTAAGCTCTCGTCTTGTAGATTGGAAGCAGGCAGGGAAGGTGAGGATCTTGGCTGAAGTTGAGGAGAAAAAACCTGGCCCTCATCTTTGGACATCTCCACCAGGAGGGCTCTCGCTGCCCCCTTCTGGACATCTTGTCTGTCCCCTCTGGCTTCCTGAGTGGGAAGAAGAGAGTGGCATGGGTGTGAATTAGTCACTATTAGCCGTGAACTCGCCTGTCTAAGCCCGTCTCCTCATGTGTAAGGGGGCTGTGATGACGCTGCCTTCCAGTTGTCGGAACAGTACACCGGGAATGGGTGCCTGACTCAGCTCAGGCTTCTTCCTGTCCTCTCTAGAGAGCCCATGGTCCCTTTTCTTGGGTTCAAAGCTCTCTAGAGAGCCCATGGTCCCTTTTCTTGGGTTCAAAGCATGGAATCTGTCCAGTTTTCTTTCTAATGTTTATTCTTCCCAGTGGCCCTTTGGTCCTTCCTCGGGACCTTTCTGTTACAAGAGTTTGTAGGGTATGAGCCTGGCTCTCACAATCCCAATTGCCACCTGTCCTCAGTACACTGGTTTAAGAGACAAATAATCACGAAAAGTAGAGAAAGGAGATTTATTCAGTGTGGCCACATTGGGAAGAGGAACATATAAAAGGGTCCTGTACCAGGTTTTCTCTTTTGAGCCACCAACCAGCTCCCAATCATGAATGCTTGGCCTAGCTTAGGCTCATTTCTGGCTAGCTCTTTTAACTTAAATTGACCTGTTTCTTTTCATCTGTGTTTTGCCTCGGGGCTTTTTACCTTTCTGTATGTTCTGTTCTGTGTCTGTCTGTCGGCTGCCTGGCTTCTGGCCCCAGACATGTCTCTTTCTCTCCCTCATTCTCTCCTTCTTCTCTTTCTTTTGAGCTTAGATTTCTCTTCCTACTTGTTCTCTCTCCTGCCAGCCCCGCCTATCCTTCACCTGTTCAGCTTTTTATTAGACCAATCAGGTGCCTTAGGCAGGCAAGGGGAAACAAATGCAACACATCTTTACACAATTAAACACTGCAGCATTAACAAATGTAACACATATTTACACAGTTAAAGTAATAGTCCACAAAAGGGTCCAGTAACCCCAAGTCCATCTTAGAACTACTAACATGAAGTTTAGGCACAAACAGGGCAGGAGGTATGCGTAACTAAGCAGTCCCGGTCAGGGCGTGGTCCTCTCCATCACTGATCAGTTCCTGTCTCTGCTCCAGTCTCTCCTGAAGGGTGGTCTGACCCTGTGTGGTCTTCCCAAGCTCCTCCTCTCCCTGGCACCAAGGCTTTGACCTTCCCTCCCTCCAGCATGGGATTCCTATGGAGATTTTACTTCTTTGGGGTTACAAAGTGTCTCTTTAGGCTATCTTCTCTGCAAGGGAGGTTCTATTTCTTTCAGTTAAGGACAGATTCTCTCCAAGGGTTAGTGCTGACTCAGGGAGCTCACAGTCTCTCAGGACTATATTGACAGCTCAGCTCTGGATAATGTTTCTACAGAGGGCTGCGAGGGCCTTTCAGATCTCCAGTGTGAACCTGACAGGCGATAGGGACAGCAGGGGGCAGGCAGTCCCTAAAAGGGTAGGCGGGTGTGCTTTTCAAGGCTTGTGGGGTGAGGACACTGGCCTGAGGAGGGCCAGGGCCTATGTGGGGGCTTGGGTCACCTCCTCCTCAGAAATGCTCACAGTGCTGTCAGGTACGGGTTCTCAATAAGACGATGCCTGTTTGATCTGGAGAGCAGTGGATAACATCTCTCTGGAAAACAGAGCAGTCAGGCCCCCCTCCACTGCAGTACCATTTGGCTTTGTGACTTTCCTAAGTTCTCCTGTGGAATGGCTGCCAAGGCCATGGGAGGGACAGTCCCCTTCTGCCAGGAGCTGGCCCGGGAGCAATCACCACAAGATAGGCCGCAAGGACTGTGACCAGCAGAGTAACACGGGGGCTGGGCCCAGGGCCACCCAGGAGCCCCTCACTTCCAGGAGGAGATGGCCCTGGAGTGACTGTTGGTCACGCCTCTTTCACTAGTGGGCACCTCTATGAGCTTCCCGTGGCTGCTGTCACCAGGTGCCACAGTGCAGTGTCTTGGACCAACAAACTGATTCTTTTCCAGTTCTGAGAATCAGACATCCGGAATCTGTCTCACTGGGCTGAGGTCAAGCTGTGGGAGGGCAGGTCCTCAAGGGACCCCAGCTGAAGATGTCATTTCTAGCTCCTGGAGGCACCTGCGTCCCTTGGTACCTGGCTTTTCTTCCTCTAGAGACCTTGGCCTTGCCGTGGTCCCCTGCTCTTCTTTCTAAGCCTTTTTACCTGTAAAAAGGGACTCGTGTACTCTTCAGGCTCTCTGGATATTCCAGCATAACCTCCTCACTCCTGTGCAAAATCCTGTTTGCCATGAAAAGTCACATGTCCCCAGGCTCCGGGATCAGGGTGCGAATGTTGGAGACGCTTACTCAGCTTGCCTGGAGATCTGACTCAGGGAGGGGCAGGAGCTTCCAGGGGTCCTTGTTGGCTTGTGTCATTCACCCCAGTGATTCATCCAGTGGATATGGAGGCACTGCTTTCTATCTGCTGTCTTCAGCCATCCCCCCCTTGGTTCTGTTAGTCTGCCTGGGCCTGCTTCTGCACTAGGATTTTCCTGTGGTAGCTGAGTGTCTCCTGGGATTCTGGGCTGGGTAGTCTTGGGCAGCTTTAGGCTGGGCAGGAGTGCCAGTCCAGACTGAGTTTCCCAGGGGAAACTTGGCCTGTGGAGCTGTGTGGGGCACCACCGGTTTCCCTTTGAACAACTACTGCGGGCCTCTGGCTGGACTCGGGGCAGCCCTCCTCATGCATGGAATTGGGTCCTTTTACAAAGAACAGGGAAAGCAGGGCATCCTGGTAGCTGCCACATCCACATGGAGGCAGAGTCACATGGGTGGCTTTGGACCACTGAGGGGTCCCTGGTTTGTAGGTGTGTTCCAGGGGAGGCTAGGATGTAGCCTGAGGTGTATGTGTGCGGGGGTCAGGTTGACAGTCTTATCCTTTATTCCCTCATGCACTCCTGAGCATGGAGGGGTGACCCCTTAGAATGGCCCTTCACTTTTTACCTTTAGAAGAAGTTCAGACAAACTTTAGTGTATGTGATTTCTGTCTGTCTGTGTTCACTGTATGAGAAGTCAGAACCCAGAAGCATCAAGAAACACTAGTTAATTTAAAAATGGCAGCAGTAAACCTGATTATGTGATCACACACAAAAACTTTGAAATTGTTGCGAAGAAGGGTGCTTTGGGCTTGTGCCAGTGTTTTCCTTGGCTTACTAGGAGACAGTTTGTTCTGGGCGTTTGCTCCTCCTTCATCTGCTGTCTTGGTTGAAGCCTTCATAGGAAATCCAACCCCGCTGGGTAAGAGGAGGGTCCCGTGGTGGGTGTTGCTCTTGGATGCTTCCTTTCCCTCCCTAGCAGTAGTTGTTTTTGTTTTGAGACAGGGTCTCTTTATATAGCTCTGGCTAGCCTGGACTAACTGTAGACCAGGCAGGCCTTGGACTTGCGTGGACTCTCCTGCCGCCTCCCAGTTATTGGTATTACAGGTGCGTGTCACCATGCCTGGCTTACAGGGTGCTGGGACGGGACATGGTACATTGTGCATAACAGGCAAGCACCGTGTGGACAGTTTCTCACATACTGTTTTACGTGGAGCCCCTGCCCACCATCCGACTTCTTTTTTTTTTTTTTTTTTTTGGTTTTTCGAGACAGGGTTTCTCTGTGTAGCTTTGCGCCTTTCCTGGAACTCGCTTTGGAGACCAGGCTGGCCTCGAACTCACAGAGATCCACCTGGCTCTGCCTCCCGAGTGCTGGGATTAAAGGCGTGCGCCACCACCGCCCGGCCTACCATCCGACTTCTTACACACCAGCTCTTGCCTCAGGATCTTTCATTCTCAAAGGGTTTCGAACTGTTGTGGTCACTGGCTGTTGGTCACTTGGAATGTGCTAGCATTCTGAGTTTCATAGATCTTCCACATATTTACACATATATGAAGCATGAACCTAATTAGTCTTATCAATAAAAAGCAGGAGTCAGCTATTGGAGTAATAACCTGAAAGATCAGAGGAGCAGAGGAGCAGTCACCAGTGACTTCTTACCTCTCTGGATCCTCTGACTGAAAGGGATGAGATCCTGTCTCCACTCGCCTTTATCACTTCCTGTCTCTGCCTCCTGAGTGTTGGGATTAAAGGCGTGAGCCACCACTGCCCAACTTCCATGGTTAACTAGTGGCTAGCTCTGCCCTCTGACCTCCAGGCAAGCTTTATTTGTCAGAACACACACACACACACAAAATACCACTCATGTACGTACATACTCCCTGAGGATGGCATCTATATTGTCCCTGTCCTGCTCACAGGGCAGGTCTTGAAGTATGATGCAGTCAGGTTGGCAGTGGAGGATACAGATGTTTCTAACTCAGTTTTTTGTTTGAAAACTCCTTAGTCTTACTAATTTTCCTTGCAGCAACGGGTTCACTTTGTCCGTGTTGGAGGAAGTGTCTGCTGAAGCTGAGGCAGTCTATCAGCCATCTCTCCACTGAAGTGGTGTTAACGGAAAAGCAGGCTGGGCAGGCAGCAGCCCCAGCAGGCTTTCCCCTGGGATGCCCAGCGGCCTGCGGCTTGCAGCGGACATGGAACGTGCTTTACTCTGTGTTTTTCCTCACCGTCTAGCTGTGTGTGCCCAGCAGTCCAGATGTAGTGAAATTAATAGCTTCCCTGCCTCTGCCAAGGACCTTTTTCTTTCTGGTGAAGCTGGTGTTTCCACTGTTGTGGTGACAAACGTGGCAGGGAGCCACAGAGCTTTCAGGGCTGCCCACTGTGGCCTGTGCCCCGCCAGTGCAGATGTCACCAGGGTGGAAACACCAGGAGCAGTGGCGGTGTTAGGGCCGGCCGCTCTTAGAGGCCACACCTACCGCTCTCCTCACACTTGACATTGCAGTGCCTAGAATTGGCCTCTTACCACCATCTGTCACGCGAAGAGACAGCAAGGGAAGGTGGTGACCCTGTCCGGCTTCACAAGCTTGGGTGACACCTGATGGGTGAGATCCTAAGAAGCTGGTAATGCTGGCTGGGCAACAAGAGACCTTGCCAAATAGCCCAGCCCTTCTGGGTGAGTGGCCTTAGGGTTCTAGTGATAACATTGGGACTGAGTGGCTCTGCCTCCTGCTCTTTCTGTCCTTCGTTTCTATGCGTGTCTCAAGGTAGCTGCTCCCAAGTTGCCTTTGGCAATGTCTGTTCCCAAGCCCGTATTTCCCTCTGTGCAGAACCAGCAGAGACTGAGATTGGCAGCTCACTGGCTCCCATTAGTTCACACTCTCTGAATGTTTTAGGGCTTGGGCTTCATCTGCCACTCACTGGCCAGTGCTTAACCTATGTATCTGTTCAAAGTAGCCCTGCGTGCCCCCTTCTTAAACCAGTCACTGAGCCCAGGCTAACTGTGTCTGATTGGCATATTTCCTTGGCGGCATTGGTTCAGGTCAGCAATGCAGCTGCGTTGGGGTTTGTGGGACTGGGCTGCCACGTGTGGGGTTCTGGCGGTGGAGGCTCCCCCGGGAGAGTCAGGTGAGCACTGGGCTGATCACTGTTGCCTTCATTTTACTACAGATGGTGCAGGGAGTCCTGGAGGCCCCAGTGAGGTTGGACGGGCAGCATGGATGACTGGCACACAGCCTTCACCCAAAACACACTCGTCCCTCCCCACCCACAGAGAGCACGCCAGCTTGGGAAGGAGTCCACAGCGTTCCAGTGTGTCCTGAAGTGGCTTGATGGGCCTCTAATTAAGCAGGTAATGAGATTTTCCGTTGATTGTCAGTTGCTGTTGTCTGAGATGAGGCTTCTAATTAACATTGATTTTCACTTATCTCCCCGGGTTGCACCACTGTGCCTGTTACCTTGGACTTGGCAGTACAAAACACGTCATTCGGCCACTCGGTTAGTACCTGGGGCTTTGGGTCAGCATTTCTACCCACAGTGCCACAGTGCAGACTCACAGGTAGTCTTTCTGGGCTGTTTCTGAGCCAAGGTATAGGAAGATGCTTTGTGTGTGGCCCTGTGTGGTCCTCCTTCAGGTTACAATTGGGAGGATGCTGCTCTGGGTAGCAGCTTTGCCAAGACTGTGGAAGCCTTGTGTGCTTGGATGCCACCAGCCAGGTGAACCCGAAGGCCTGTGCTGACATCCCTGCACTTATGTGTGCTCTTTTCAGCTTTCAGGGGGCCTGTGTGAGCTAGTGTGACCAGGCAGCCACTCAAAGGGCATTCATGTGGTCTGTGTCCTTCTGAAACACTTGGCCTGCAGGGATGTCCAAGGAGCCAGCCCTGCTGGGGAAAGGTGCGGTGTTTCTTTGATTGGGAAGTCCGTTGTCTGCACTACTGTGATAGGATCGACACTTAATTGCTAGTTGTCAGCAGTTAGAGTTCCAAGCCCTCTGGTGGGTGCCTCCTGTGTTTGCTACAGCGTTAGGTACCAAGATGTTTGCTGTGCCACGGCTGTGCCTCTTAGCATGCTGTTCATGCTGATTTACTCACTCTCAGCCCTGTGAGGGGGCTCCAATAGCACTCTCATTTCACAGAAGCCGAGCAGAACCTGCATGAGGGAAGCCAGCTGCTTGGAGCTACTTATTTCCCACTGGCCCTGGACTGCTCCTTACCAGGGCCGGCCCTGGACTGATCCCTGCCAGAGCTGGCTCTGGCCATCCTATCTGAGAATTGACAGCCTTCTCTTTCTCAGAAGTTTCATGAAGGAAAGCCCACCCTCCCTCCTTGGTTTGAGAAAAGTAATTTTACAGAATTTGAAATTTGCAAGAAACACAAAAACAGTGAATTATCAACAATGTCCTATCTCAGATACCACCAGAATTGTCTGGCTTCTGTCTAACACTTCATAAGGTCTAAGCAATACAATAAATATACCTGTATGTATTTTCATTTTTATGTATGTATGTCTGTATGAGTTTATGTGCACCATTTGTGTGCAGGTGCCTGTGGAGGCCAGCAGAGGGCATCAGATCCCCTGGAACTGGAGTTATGGGCAGTTGGGAGCCACTTGGTATGAGTGCTGGGCCTCTGTAAGAGCATTAAGTGCTCTTAACCACTGAGCCATCTCTCTGGCTCCTGTTGTTGTTGTTATTATTATTATTATTATTGTGATTATTATTTTGGTTTTTCAAAGTGGGGTTTCACTGTGTAGCTTTGGCTGTCCTGGAACTTACTCTGTAAACTAGGCTGGCCTCAAACTCACAGAGATCTACCTGCCTGTGCCTCCTGAGTTCTGGGATTAAAGGTATATGCCACCACTGCCTGGCTGGCTCCTATTATTATTATTATTATTATTAAGACAAGGTCTCACTGTGTAGCCCAGAATAGCCTCAAACTCCTGATCTCTTACCTCAGGTTCTTGAGTTGAGACACAGGTACATGCTACCACACCTGGCTCCTTTTCCTCCTTTAAATGTAAATGGTTTTATATGTAATATATAAAATATATATAATCTGTACCTTGTTTTAAAAATGATTTTAGAGCCGGGCGGTGGTGGCACACGCCTTTAATCCCAGCACTCGGGAGGCAGAGGCAGGCGGATCTCTGTGAGTTCGAGGCCAGCCTGGTCTACAGAGCAAGATCCAGGAAAAGGCGCAAAGCTACACAGAGAAACCCTGTCTCAAAAAACCAAAAAAAAAAAAAAAAAAATGATTTTAGAAACAACATGTCTTAGAGATTGTTCATGTTACATGAGGATTTTTTTTCTTTTCTTTTGTGACAGAGTCTCACTATGTAGCCCCAGCTGTCCTGTTACTCTGTGGACCAACCTGGCCTTAAACAGAGAGAGATCTGCCTGCCTTTGCCTCTGCCTCCCAAGTACTAGGATTAAAGATGTACCACCATGCCCTGTTCTCATCCTTTTTTTGAGACAAGGCCTTACTGTGTAGCTCAGGCTGGCCTCACACTTAAGATCCTCCTGCTTTAACCTCTTGAGGTTTAATTTGAGGGATTACAGACTTAAGCCACCATGCCTGACTATGTTTACATTATTTTTAATGTATATATATATGTATAGAATAATTCTTGTGAATGGAGTAGAAAAGAAAGTTGTGCAACGTGTGCTTCCTCCTTGGGAATCTCAAGAAAAACACACAAGGAGGAATGGGAAATGTCTGAGTGGAACTGAGCACCTGCTTGTGTCAGGCCTGGTGGGATCCTGAGGATGGAGTGGGGAGCTGAGCTCCCGTTGCAGCTGGGACCAGAGTCCTGGGCAGACTCCGGGAGATGCAAGGCGGGGTCGAGAAGGCGGGATGGTTGTGGTCAGCAGAGGCCTGCAATGTGGGGGCAGTGGCTGGGCAGATGTGGAGAGGATGGAGGCAAGAGCTGGAGGGAAGGGTCAGTGAGGAGGCTGCAGGCAGAGGACTGTGGTGCTGCCCCACCCCACCATGCTCATCCCTACAGGTAACACCACTTCTCCCATTTGCTCTACACAGGAAATGTCCAGCTATCCACTAGTTATGCACCAGGGCTGTGGCATTCACAGCTGGATCTGGGGAAGGCTGGGTCTGCTAAGGTAGCCAGTCTCTTTCCTTCCTGCTTCTTCACAGGCCGTGTCCTGCCTCTGGACCCCTCCATGTGGCCCCTCCATTAGCACAGATCCTGAATTGTCCTCTCCTCACCAGCCACCTTGTGACTTGCCCCTTGGCCCTTCCTGCATGGATGGAAGCTGTGACCTCTGACCACCCTTTCCCAACTGCTGTCCAGTCCCTGATCCCCTTACTGTGGCACTTCTCCAGGTCCTGAGTCACTGGGTTGGTGCTTTTTCCGTGGCTGCTCCTTCTGTCGGGATACAAGCACAGCCCCTCCCAGGGCTCCACGAGGCTGCCAGGGTTGCTCCTGTGCAGCCCGCCTCCTGCTCAGCCTGCTGCAGCTGCACAGGCTCCATGGTGTAGACGGTTCCCGGGATTTTGCTGAGTTCAGGAGATGAGGACCACCGAGAAGGCTTCTTAAACAGCTGCTGAGAGAGTGGGCAGACCTGGACATGGAGGTCCATGCTGGACCCTAGGGAGGTTCAAAGTCACAGGGAAGGTCTGGTCAGGCTGAGCAGCTGAGGACTGGCCAGCTTGTGTAACCATACTGATCCCTGTGGTATAAGGACTGTCCAGTTTTTTCGGTCTTGGTCCTGGGATGCGGAGGTTCTGTGTGAGGGCTGAGGAGAGCGTTCGGGGGTGGTGGGTAGGTTTGCCTGTCAGAAATGCTCTCAGAGGCAAGGCAGTGGCAATCTCTGAGAATTGGCCTGTATGGGAGGTCATGGGGCATCTCTTATCAGGGATTCTCCAGATGCCAGAGGTTGAGGGACACATAAGATGAAAAAATACAGTGATTTAGGGAGGAATCGAGCACCTCAGTCCCCCACAATCCCGCTCTCTTGCCCCAGGGCCTGGTGTTGTGCTGCGCCCTCTGCTGGCTCCCTGTCCCCAGGTCCCCAGTCCCATGGTCTCTTAGTTCTCGGCCCAGATGCTGTCTTCCGGGAGCCCCTTCCCTGGCTAGCGTGGCTAGATTTTCCTTTACGGAAACACTTAGGCGTTTTCTTCCTTTGTTCCTCTGGTGTCGTTGGTGCCTAGAACCGCAGCTGGCAGAGAAGAAGCAGCAGGTGGGAAGGGAAGGTTTGTTGAATGAATGAACGAGAGAAAAGCAGGGGACTGTCACCCAAGAACTGCAGTTGAAGGCAGTAACAAAGGAACTAGAGGTTAAAACAGAAACAGTGGGTAGCAGGCTGTGGGAAAGGCTCTGTCTCTTCTGGGCTCGTAGACATGATTTCTCACACATCAGAGCTCTGCTTTTCTTGTACTAACATCCCAGAATAATTCTGACAGGTTGATTTAATCCCCACTTCTATCAGGATGGACTTAATTAACATGGCTGCACAAAATGAAGACATCATCCCAATGGCTTAAGCCAGAGGAGGTTTATTACACAACGTAACAGACGTGTCACAGACTCAGCCCTGGTGTGGTTTGATCCAGAGTCTCACAGTGAGACAGCCTGGACCATATCCTTCAGCTCTTGGTCCCATCTGCTAACAGAATAGCGGCCAGCAGCCCTAGGTCTGTGTCTGGCTGACATGGCTTGGCCTCTGGTGTCCTAATGCCTTTGGATGTGTCTTAAGTTTATGCCATCCTAGGGCATTTCAGGGTTCCGATTTGCCAGAGCAGGCTGAGCATCATGATTTATAACTCCACCAAGACCAGTTGCTGTAGAGAGAGGCCATGGCCAAAAGGAAATTGAGCTGCTGGTAGCTGAATATGGGGTAGGTGCTGATGGCCCAGAGCCCTCCAGAGGGTTCCCATAGTGGCTATGGGGTGTCTCTTCAGGACTCCTTTTCTGGTGTCTCCTAGGGAATCCTAGACATGTTGTCGGAGCTTGAATGCCATCTGCGAGTGTCTCTCTTCGATGTCACCTACAAACACTTCTTTGGGAGGACATGGAAAACCATGGTGAAGTCCACCAATCAGCTGTCCAGGCAGCCGCCCAGGATCATCTTCAATGAGGTGGGTTCTGTTGACCGTGGGTAGGGACTGCTTTATGGTAGGGCACAGGTGTGCTGGGTCTGTCCTGTGCAGCCCAGACCGTGAGGCCTCGGCGCACACATCTCGGCACACACATCTCGGCGCACACATCTCGGCACACACACGCACGGCCAGAGCAGTAGGTCGCTGCTGCAAAGCTTGTCTCAGTGGAGGGACACTGTTTCCAGACAGTCTCTTATGTCCAGCCAGGTGTCCACCAGTCGATGTGCTTACAATGGGGTGCAGGGATGTGGGGGCCCACCGCTTTCAGGGAGCCTCTGGGGTCTCGGAACAGTGAAGTTACTGATTCCAACTGATGGAGTGTTCTCTTTCATCGCCATGACAAAGATACCTGGGAACGACAGCATAAGGATTCATTTTGGAATTTTCGGTTCAGTGACCTGCTGATTCTGGTCCTGTGGTGAGGCCGAGCATCATGGCAGGGATGTCTGGCAACACCCGTCCTCTCATGGTGAAAGGAAGTGGGGAGAGAATGCCTATCCTCATGGGCTTACTCTCCATGTCTTTTTTCATCTGGACTTTTAGTTCTATGGTAGAGCATCACCTGCATTCTGAGTGGGCCATCTCCCCTGGTTCAGTGGTTCTCAATCTGCTTAATGCTGTGACCCTTTAATACAGTTCCCCATGTTGTGGTGACCCCTAACAATAAAATTATTTTCATTGCTATTTCATAACTGTAATTTGCTACTGTTATGAATTGTAATGTAAACACCTGTGTTTTCCAGTGGTCTTAGGTGACCCCTGTGAAAGGGCCATTTGACCTCCCCAAAGGGGTCGCAACTCACGGCTTGAGAAACGCTGCTTGTAATTCATCCTTTGTCCAGAGGTGTGCTTTGCCAATCTAGATGCTTCTCACTTTACTCAGGATGACAGTCAAGAGTGACCATCACAGGTGGTGAAGCCCAGACTCAGTAAAATGACTTGCCCACATGGAGGGTGGCAGAGCATGGACTCAGATCGGTGCTTCTGCCCTCAGACTTGGCAGTAGCATGTCACCAGTTGGGTCCATGTTCCCCAGGGAGCCTCTTGGCTGCCTTCACCTCAGGCTACCTCTCAGGTAGAGAGGAGAGAACGCCTCCATCCCACTGGAGTGGCACAAAGAGCAGTAACATAGGCCGTGAGCTGTGAAATGTTCTCAGAAGAGGCAGAAGGATTGGGGACCTGCTTCAGGCAGGGCCGTGGAGGAGGGCCCCTGAGAGGTCAGGACGAGAAAGAAATGGGCACCGGGACGAGCAGGGAGGGGATGCGCCCAGCAAGGCGGGTCAGAGTGTGAGAGCGAGGGGAGCTGGGGCTGGTGTGGTGGTGGTGAGTCAGGTGGACAGCTGTGTCCTGTGGGCCTTCCCAGGATGCTTTAAGAGTTGAAGAGGCCATAGGGGCCTTTCCCTGCTGTTCCATACTTGGCCTTCAGGGGGCAGTGAGGAGCCCAGGTTTGACTTTGCAAGAGATGGCTTCTGATGACTCTGAGCTGTTCGCTCCTCAGCAGGTGAACTGAGGCCGAGGAAACGGTCCTGTGACAGTTGGTACTGTGACAGTGGAAGGGACGGACCGTGGCTGTTCTGAGTTCTTGCTCGGGTCACTATGGCTCCTTTTCTGCCGTGGCTGCTTTCGCCATAGCTGGTGCTGAGCCTCAGGCTGGCTGTGAACATGCTGCTCTCTGACCTTGGCCGCCATCCAGCCGGTGATTCTGTGTGGCTTGGCATGGCTCATTCTGAGGCTTCCCAGACTAAACACGGGTAGTTGAGGGAGATAATGGCCCCAGAGGTCAGAAGACTAAACAAAGCCTTGGCAAAATCTATGTCATGGGAACTGAAGTGTGTCTGACACGATGTTATCAGGTGGCTTATGCAAATACCTTGGAAAGGTGTGCCAGGCCAGTGTGCTGGTGACAGGAGTCCATGTTGTCAATCTTGTACGTGGCTCTGTGTGACCCCACGAGGGCCGTCTCAGCACAGGCAGGGGCTGGCCTTGTGCCTTTGACACAGGTCTGTTCTCTGTCTCATGACAGTGATGGGGATGGCGCGGCGGCTTCTGCCTTTGGCAGCAGCCCTGTAGGGATGGATGGGCTCTCTTGACGTTCTCTTTCTCCTGCGTGCAGAGGCCCATGAAAACCTTGTGTTGTGATAAGTTTCTGTGAATGGTGACGGCAGCCGTGATAACTTGCCTTCTCTGGAGAGGGGCTTCCGAGGGCCAGGAATGAAAGAAGCATGTTCCTTCATCTCATCTTTGTCCTCCTCTTGTGGAGGGCAGCGATCGCGAGTCCTCATTTTAAAGGGGAGAAGGCAGGTGCATGGAGAGTGTAGCCTCCCCCTTGGCCACCAGGATGCACAGCTCTTGGTGGGGAGGTGTCGGAGGTGAGCCTGTGTTCTAGGTCAGCAGTCTTCTCTCCCTTGGCCACCAGGACGCACAGCCCTCGGTGAGGAGGTGTCGGAGGTGAGCCTGTGCTCTAGGTCAGCAGCCTTCTCTGAAGCCAGCACAGAGACACCCTCCCCCTTCTCCCTCCGTGTCCCCTTGTTTAGCTCTGCGTTCAGAGACGAGTTGGATCAGGTCTACTGCCCATGCTCCGCTCCCTGTTGGCGATCCTGACTCGGAAGCATGGGATCTAGGTTGCCGGGTTGGAAGCAGGGCCTTCCAAGATCTCCAGTCCTGGGAGTCACAGATGGGTGACCCCTGTGGAATACCCGGTGGCTGTGAGGGACAGTTCTCTGACGCTGCTTATGTCCTTGTCTTGGGTTTGACCTTGTGTTACTCTGGGTTTCAGTTGTCCCAGAAGCCCAGATACACTTAGATTTCACTGCCCCCTGCTGGCCAGCTATCCTGAGCCCTGACACAGACCTTTGTCCAGGTAATCCAAGATTCAGGCTTATTCCTAGGCATGGTGACCTATGCTGGTGGGAGCCACATCAACTCAGCCTGTGTAATAGAATATTATTTTAAGGTGTGTTACTTTTGTTTATGTTGCATTTGTTTAACTCTGTGAAGCTGTGTTACTTTGCCTGTCTAAAACACCCGATGGTCTAATAAAGAACTGAAAAGGCCAATAGCAAGGCAGGAGAAAGGATAGGTGGGGCTGGCAGGCAGAGAGGGTATATAGAAGGAGGAATCTGGGAGAAGGGAGAGAAGGAGCCAGAGAAGGAGGAGGACATCAGGGTCCAGCCACCCAGCTACACAGCAACCCACGGAGTAAGATTTTCAGAAGTAAGAGAACAGGAAAAGCCCAGAGGCAAAAGGTAGACGGGATAATTTAAAGTTAAGGAAATGCCAAATTAGGGCTGGGCATTCATAAGTAAGAATAAGCATCCATGTGTGATTATTTGGGAGCTGGATGGTGGGTTCCCAAAAGAGCAAAAACAACTAACAACCAGCCAGCTCGGCTTGGGCAGCGGTCTTGATTTGCCTTTGGTTGAGGCTGTGTGTTGGGAGTCAGTGGAATGGAAAGTGTTTGGTTTAGCATGTGGTGGCCGGACACTGAGGGTCCTGAGGGTGATGCCTGAGCTTGCTTGTTCTGGTTTCTTCCTGCTCGTTGCTATGCTCACTGCAAGCAGCAGAGGCCAGTGGTGGCCCAGTGATGAAGTCCGCCCGACCTTTTATGCCAGCTTCCTCCTGGCTCCTGAATACGAAAGAGGAGATTGTGTTCAGTTAAGTAAAGGGACGCTCCCTTTGCTCTGTGTGGTGTGCGCCTGCACCTGTATTGTACAAGGTTGACATGCTCTTGGTGGGTACTTAGTGTGTGCTATGGTTGTGGTCACTGGCTGGCTGGGTGCTCCGGCCACATGCCTGTAGAGACAGATGGCTAAGATGCTCCTTGACTTTCTGAGGTGACACAGATGTGTGAGGTACTTTTTCCCATAAGCAATGGCTCAGGCAGATCTGCTGTGAGGTTAAGGAGCCGCCAGTACCAAGGGGCTGTACTCGGGGTTACTGGGGCTGCGGGGTCTATGTGTGGCTACTAGATTGTCTGGGCGTGCTCTGATGTATTGAGCTGGCTCCATACATGTGTGTGACTGGCATGTGGTGGAGGTGGGGGTGGGTGGGAGATGCGGTCTCAGAACTGCAATCAGCTCTACTCTCAGAAAAGACTTGGAACACCAGAGTAGTGAGGATGGAGTCCTGACGGCTCTCACTCCTCAGAGCCGTGCGGGGAAGGGATGCAGACAGGAAGGCCCTGACACCTCCTGGACCCCTGCTTCACCAGACTGATCCATACTGTACACTTGACTCTCTCAGTCTTGCTGCCGCTCATGGGTCCCTGGGGCAGACAGCGAGGGACGGCGTGCACAGAGGGCAACCCCTGCTCAGCTCTGGCTGTGTCCCTGCAGGAGGAGGGCAGTTCCCCTCGAGGCCAGAAGTACCCACTCCTAGGATCAGCCTAAAGTGGGGCCTGACAGAAGCAGAGTCTTTGGCTGTTGCCAAGGTTGGGTTTTCACTGTATGGGGAGTGACCCGCCAGTCCCTGGCGACCAGGGAGGGCCTGAGGTTGGTTGCTTCTGTTCTCCAGTGTCTCTTGCTTTGGGTTGATGGTGTTTGATCACCCTTTTATAAGTTTGTCAAGGAATTGCTTTCCAGCTGGAGTGAGGGCCAGCTATGGGCCTAAGTGCCGGATTTGTTGTGGTTTGCACATGGGCCAAACCCTGGATCTCAGGAAGGTCACTCAGCTCTGTGACCTTGAAGTCTTCTGCACACCATATGCAGAGATGTGCACCTCGAGTGTAAGTCATCTGGTTTCCAGCAGTTGCCCATGAAGCAGGGTGCGCTCACTGGGTAGATGTCTGAGTGTCCACTGCACCTGAGTCTGCGTAGGTGCTAACATATAGAGACTGATAAGTTCCTGTGTCATCTTCCAGCCAGGGTTCAAGTTGCCATTGTCCTTCTGTAGATCTGAGTTTTCCAGCCTTAGAAGCACTCATGTTGAGGGCTGGCCTGCCCTCTCTGGTCTGGCTGAGGTGGTGTCAGCCTGATCCTACCACTGTGACAACTTCCCAACAAGGTCAGCTCCCAACCTCAGAACTGAGCCTTAGGGGAGTCTTAGGGGAGACTGGGGTGCATAGAGTTGGCCCAGCTTGGTCAGTGTTGATGGCCATTGGCCAGGAAACCTGAGCCTAGTTGATGTCAGTAGATGGGAGCTGCAGGAGGCATTTGTGGGTTGTTTTCCCAACAGTCCTGCATTAAAGGCTTATTATTATTGTTGTTGTGCAGGTATGAGGTGAGTGTGCGTGTGCATATGTGTACAAATGTGTGTGTGTGTGTGTGTGTGTGTGTGTGTGTGTGTGTCTGTTGTGCAGGGGTACGTGCGAGGGTCAGAGTGCCCTGCTCTATCACTCTCCCCCTCATTCCCTGGTGCTTGTTGCTTTTTGGCTAGGCTGACCAGTAGCAAGTTCTTCTATCTCCACCATCCCCCCGTGCCCACCTCAAGCCCAGAGGTGACAGATTTTTTTTACCTAGGTGCTGGGGATCCAAACCCATGTCTCCATGCTTGCGTGGCAAGCACTCTGAACTGCCTCCCCAGCCTCTACTGGCTTGTTTTGAACTACTTCTTTGCACAATGCTGGTTTAATTTTTCTCAGCTCTCTGCTGGTCCTGTGAGCATGGGTAGCAGGTTGACGTAGCTGTCAGCAGAGCAGGCCAAGTACAGCTTCTTAGAGGCATGCTGTCAGAGCTGTATTCAGTTCTGTCGTTGTGGGCAAGAAATGGAAACCTGGCCCCGAGGCAATGGTGTCTGTTTTTGAAGATGAAGGCATCAGGACAGGATCACTGCGATGATTTATTAATCTGTTTACCCCGCCAGGGAGGAGCCTTGGCCAGTGCGTGTGAGAGCTGTGACACGGTGGGTTGAGAGCTGTCTCTTCTGCTGACAGTGACTTTCTTCACAGGGGATTTTTATGGGCTTGACTTTTAATCACGCTGTTTTAGTTGACACTCAGAGTTTTCTCCTCAGCATGGATGATGTTGTGTTAATTAAGTTGCCCTGGTCTGGAGGGCTGTTCACAGGTATCACTCAGCTGTGTGCTGTCTGGGATTTTGCCCAAGCCTTTTGCATGCTAGGAAACTGGGGCAGTGTGGGTGGGGGTTGCTCCTAGGCACAGATGATCCAGAAGAACAGAGGTGAGCATGTGTCTGTGTGTCCATCCTAGGAGGCTTTTGCTTCCCCAGTTTCCCAAAGCTGTTTGTTCCTGAGCAATGCAAGCATTTCCATAGCTGCCTAATCCGCCCTTTGAGCCTTGAACTTGTTGAAGGCTGATGTGTTTCCAGGTTCCTTATGACTTCTCTAGCATGGTCCCCACACTGGAGGGACAATGAGTGATGTTTGGAAAAGAGCTCATTCTTAGCTGGGAGTGGGGCTGCTGGACTGAGCTCGGGTTGTCCTTCCGTGTGTTGCGATCAGGCTGGCTCTCTGATGGAAGATGCCGGGACCGGCTAAGATGAGAAAGCTGTTTTTGGCATTTTTCTCCCCTTCCTTTTTTTCCAAGGCAGTTGTCTTGGTGGCCACGAAAGGCAGGGCCTCAGTGGTGTAGTATGCTTGTCTGTGGTTTTTCCTTGGACTTGCCCCCACTGGTCCCACTGCTCAGGTGGAGCAGTTTCAAGGTGACCTCCGAGCTGGGCTCTGCCTCCTGCTTCCTCTGAGAATTTAAATGTTTGTTTTACTGCCTGAAGAGGAAGAGGGCAGTGTCCATAAAACCAGTGTGCACAGGTGTAAATATACAGGTGAGATAGTGACGGGCCCAGCGGCCCAGCAGGGCTCTGCAGACAGCGCGAGTCTGGGAACCTGAAGCATAACTCTGTCTCAGCCCAGCCACCTGTCAGCTCTAAGTGGTCATTATTTCATCATTTTGCAATAAAAGATAATAGAATAGCGATTTATAGTTGGTGGCTGATGTTTTAATGTATCCCTCTGTTATCCTGGCTGACAGTCTGGGATTACAGTAACCACTTTCTGGGTGACACCGTGGTAATGACTCCTTAATAGGAGTGATAGCCCGAATTTCAATCACATGGCACTGGCCGCCCTCTGCCCTGCCTGGCACTGTCTGCAGGGGGTGTCTTTGTGCTCAGCTGGGAACTAGACACCCAGACACTAAAAGATGGCAGCATATGGAAGCCAGCCCAGGGCTACTCTTCAGGGTGTGGACGTGAGGCCCTGTGGTTGGCAAACCCGACCCCTCGCTCCACCTCTGTCTCTTATGCTTGTGATGGGGTCAATTAGAGCTGAAAACAAGTGCATTGAACTGAACCAGGTGTGTGTGTGTGGTGTATGTGTGCCTCAGCTGTCCTGTCTCTTTCCCTTGTGTGCCCTCACCCACCCAGGGACCAGAGATTTCCCATTTGCACTCTGGGAATAGGAATGTTATAAATGGAGGAACTTTCAAGATGAAATTTGCTATTATATACTAGGTTCCAAGAATCTTTTAATGAAAAGATGTCATACCTACTTGGTGGTACAAGCCTGTCCTTTGGCACTTGGGAACTTGGAGGCAGGAGGATCAGGAGTTCAAGGTCATTCTCAGCTACATCATGAATTTAAAGTCAGCATGGGCTACTGAGACTTCTGTCTCAAAAAGCAAACAAAACAATAAAACAAACAAAAATGGAAAGCTAGCTCATCAGTTAACGGGACTTGACCCAAGTCAGTTTCCAGCACCTATGGCTCACAGCAATCTGTAACTCCTGCTCCAGGGGATTGGATTCCCTCTTCTGGCTTCTCTGGCCACCTGCACTTGCGTGCACATTACCCTGCCCCATACACATGACTGAGAATAAAATCTTTAAAAAAAAAAGAAGAAGAAGCTCTCACCTGTGTTCAAGGGCCTTAATACCCCATGCCCTCCCAACCAGATCTCAGGTGATTTTCACTATAAAAGGCACCGGCTGTGAGCTGTGCATCCTTTCTTAGTTTAGAGAAGGATAAGAATTCTTGGTTGAAGCACATTTAGTTTGGATGGAACTTCATAAAACATACACATGAGGGGCGGGGTTAGAGTCAGCATGCATTCTAAACTGTGATCCAATGCTGTTGTGTTAGCTAAGGCTCGGGTTGATTGTGCCCAACAGTGTTGTGTGTGTGTGTGTGTGTGTGTGTGTGTGTGTGTGTGTGTGTGCATGTGTGAGTAGGCATGTTTGTATGTGTGTACACATATTTGTGTGGGTGTATACACATGTGTCTGAGTGCATTTGGCAGCCTTAGGTTGATACTGGGAATGTGACTTGGTCAGTTTGAACCCCAGGCAAGGACGTTGAACTGAACTGGGAAGGGATGATGGCTCTTCCACCGTCCTCACTGAGGCAGTCCCTCAGTCAAATCTGGAGCTCACTGATATGGCCAGTCTTGCTTTGTGGATTCCATCTCTGCTTTCCAGGGCTGGAATTACAAGTGGGACGTCACACCTACCTGGCAGTTCCATGGGTTTCTGGGATGTGAACTCCAGTTTCCACACTTGCACCTCCCCAGCGTGTGAAGGTTTTGTCCTGATGCTCTGCTCTCCTGCCTCTCAAGGGCATCGGGTGGGGCCTGAGGCTGTGGTGTGCCCGTGACAGGATCTGGGGAGGAGAGCATCTGCACCCCTCCCTACCCGCCCCCCCTCTTTCTGCGCCTTGCCTGTGGTCACCTCCGTCAGCAGTCTCTGCTTCTCTTGCAGCCTTTCTACTTCCACACGACCTTGAACCACCCGAACATTGTGGCTGTGGTAGAAGTGGTCGCTGAAGGCAGGAAGAGAGACGGCACCCTGCAGGTGCTGTCCTGTGGGTTTGGAATTCTTCGAATCTTTGGTAATAAGCCGGAATCTCCCACCTCTGCTGCCCAGGACAAACGGTACCTTCTGTGTTCTCTTTCTTTTCTTCTCTCTCTCTTTTTAAAGATTTAATTATTTTTATTTTATGTATATGGGTGTTTTGTTTGCAAGAATGTCTGTACAACACGTGTGTGTGTCTGGTGCTAATTCCAAGTTAGCCAAAGAGTTGCTCTTTTCTGTGGAATGAGAACCAGTTTTGGGTGAGTGTCGGGTTGGATACGGTTTGTACATAGGCCCAAGCCCTGACCTGTCGCCTGTTCTGTGTGGGATTTGCGACTGCCCACCCACTCATCTGTGCACGAGAGGCAGCCGTGTGACATTGACTTTGTAGTAGTCATCACTCAGCAGGTGACAATCGAGTGCCTGCTACGCACCAGGCTGTTTTGAAACTGGATGCACCGAGACAGATAAGCTCTGTGCCATCCTTCCAACCAGGGTTCAAGTTCACACTGCACCTCTAGATCTGAGTTTCTCAGTGTTTGAGCTGTTCACTCAGGCCTGGTCATTCTTTGCTGTGGAGCCATCTTGTGCACTGTGGGATTCTTGGCAGTGCCCCTGGCCTCCACCAGTAGATGCCGGGAGTAGTCTCTGCCCAGTGTGTTAACTAGATATACCCTGCAGACATTGCCAGACACGTGCATGGGAATGCCATGCCTGGGTGAAAACATGGCTCCAGTAAGGGGGCTGGATAATGTCTTCCTGGGGCTTCTCAGGCTGTTTCTGTTGCTTTCTAGCTTAAGGTTATAATAATAATAATAATTTTTTTTTCAAAAATAAGGAAGAGAAAATTTTATTAGGAGAACACTCAAAATAAATATGGCACAAATGCACAAATAATAAAACCAGCCGATAAGTATTCACCAAATGTGAATTAATTGATTTTGCTTATTTAAAGATCGTTATACCCCTTTTATATGAATCACACTTTACAAGTAAGCATAATGGGTTTTTTTTTGTTTTTACTCACAGAATATGTCTCAAGCCCCTAGTGGATACAGAAGCCAGAGATGATAGGAAAACACATTTTCAAAATAGTACAATTGTGTTCTTTTTAACTTTACTCCAATAGCCAAAGACAAAAGCATGGATAAACAGGCTTACTATATTAAATATTATTAAAATAGTAACATATAACAACTGAGTAAAGTCAATGTAATAAAATGTATACATATAAAATATTGCACAAAGAAACTCAACATGAATAATGGCCTAGGCCACACGTTTCCATTTATATTAAGCTCTAGAACTGGAACAAATAATTTTGAAGAAAAAAATTATTATTATTATTATTATTACTATTATTATTACTATTATTAGTGTATGTATGTGTGTGCGTGTGTGCCTGCCATATATGTGCACCCTTGGAGGTCAGAAGAGGGTGTCAGATCCCTTGGAGCTAGAGGTTACAGGTGGTGTGAGCCTTCTGACATGGGTGCTGGAAATTGAACCCTGCCTCTGTGGAAGAGCAGCCGGCACTGTTAACTGTCTATCCATAGGCCGCAGCTTCTTGCTTCTTGGGCTGCAGGTCTGTGGGGCTTGTTTATCACAACATGGCGGGCTGGCGCTGCCCTCGGCCACCTATGTTTGTGCAGCAGATATGACCAGGAACATTTAATAGGCTCTGGGCAGTGGGTTCCCAGGAACTGTCCTGGTCATGAGATATGGGCAGTTGACACAGTTTCCTGGTTCTGTCTTTCAGGTTGAGGCTGTATCATGGCACCCCTAGAGCCCTTCTGCACCCGCTCCTCCAGGATCCCATAGAACGTAAGAGCCTAGCCTGGTCTTGGCATGTATCTGGAGCTCCCGACTTTCCTGAGAGCTTTTCACCTCGCCCTATCTGGTTGACTTTCTGCAGTGGTTCTGGTCCCTGTGTTACGGGCTTGGCGTTGGTTCTGTAATGGATGGAGGAGGAACCTGCCTCTGCCTCTGCCTCTGCCTTGCACTCCTGTGCCTGCCTCTTGTGGGGCTGCTGCCTGTAGGGCTGTGGCTCAGGAAGTCAGCTTGAGCATCTTCTGTCTCCCAGCCATGCGTGGATGCGTGGAAATCACACAGCTTGTGTTCTGGCTGGAGAGACTAACTTTGTCGGAGTAAGACTTCACTATTGCAGGCCTACCTGGGCAAGGTGATGTCCTGGCCACTTGGGAGGTTGAGGCAGGGGGATCTCTTACTTCTTGGAGTCCAGGGTCAGCCTGCGCAATACAGACAGTGAACCTGTCTTAAGAAATGCATACAGAGCCACAGAGATGCTTGGTCCCTGGAACCCGGGTAAAAAGCTGGCACAGTGGCGCCCACTCATCATTCCAGCAACAGTGAGATGGGAGATGAAGACAGGTAGATCTCTGGAAGCTCACTGGCCAGCCAGCCTAACCTACTTGGTGAAATTCTAGGCCAAGAGAGATCCTGTCTGAAACACAAAGTGGAAGGAACCTGAGGAACAGCAGGTTCCTGAACTTTCATCTTACGCACGCACACACGCACCCACCCACCCACAATACAAACAAAGCCAAGAAACAAGATCCTATCTTTTCAGTTTCAACAGAGAGAATGTGGCTTGGTTCTTTTTGCCTTTATTTCATTTTTGTTTTTTTGAGACAAGGTGTGCTGGGTGTAGCCTGGGTCTAGCCTGGAACTCCCATTCCTCCCGCGTGTGATGCCCCAATGCTGAGAAGACAGATGTGTGCTACGTGCCTGACATTGTTCCTTAGGAAACAAGCCGTCTGTCTACTTGTGGCGTTTGTTCTAAATTTGACTGGAAATACTCTCGCTTTAGCCCATGTCTGGTGCTCCTCCCCCAGAGAGCAAGCACATGACACTGATGGAGAACTGTAGCCTCCAGTATACCTTGAAGCCACACCCACCCCTGGAGCCCGCCTTCCACCTGCTTCCCGAGAATCTCCTGGTGTCTGGTCTCCAGCAGATCCCTGGCCTCCTTCCCCCTCACGGGGACACGGGTAAGCTGCCCTTGGATCTCGCCACTGTGAGTCAGTGACAGGTGAAGGTGGCTGGGCTGCCCACACGTCCCTCAGTGGCTCAGCAGTGTGGCCTGTGGTGTGGTGGGAGAGGAGGTGACAGTGTCATAGCCTCCAGCCTGCTCCCCATCTTCCTGAACCCGTCACTGGGTCCCATCCCTTCTGGGTTCCAGTATCGGGCATTGCCATTGTTACTTCTTGGTTGTCCTGAAATAGACATAGCAAAGCTTACCACCGTAAGCGTTTTTAAATGGGTTGTTCAGGGCCATTAAGCATCCTTATATTGTTAAGATTTGAAGTTACACCAGCAATCCTCATTTAGTAAATTCGGGAAAGACTAAACATTCTTCCGTCTACACTTGACGCTGCAGAGAAAGCCACTGCCAGGAGCGTTGTGTTGCTGGGACTCTGGTCTCTTTCTGTGCGTTCTCTTCAGTACATGAGTGCAGGCGCTCTCCTTCCAGCCTTGGCCCCTTGAAGGCGGGGGAACAGCTTGATCGCAAAGCCAAGCTTGAGACTCAGGCACTTTACTCCAGGGCCTGCACTGTCACAAGACACAGCCCAGAGATGGTTGCTACCCAGGTTCCCAAACCTGCCCAGCCTCCTTAGTCCCCTATGATCGATTCTAGAAGATTCTATCCCCCCTCCAACCCCGTCACTGTGGCTTTTGTGCTTGGGGTCATCTTCCTCGCCTCTGTGCCGAGCAGGGTCATGGTTATGGTCGTGGTCCTGGGCCCTGGATGGGGTGTCTAGCCAGGCCCCTTCCAGGAGTGCCAGGCTCTACCACCCTCCCAGCTCCTGAGCTGCTCCTTGCCTTCTGTGTCGCTGCCATGTAGGGTTGGGTGTGTGTCACTAGGATGGCCCCTCCAGGGTCACCGGTTGTCACCCACCCTTGCCTTGGCTGTGTCGTCTAAGCAGCACATAGTGAGGCCACACTGCAGATTTGTTCTCAGGATGGGCTCCAGCCATAGCGAGTGTGGGTCTCTCTTCTGTCACACCCATGCTGTGACAGCACCCATTCATGACAAGGTTGTTGGCTTGCTCAGCTCTGGAGGGGGCTCCTTGTTGACAGTGTCCCTGCTCTCAGGTCCCTGTGTACCAAACACCTGATCACTGAAATGGCTGTTCAGTCCTCAAACTGTGGCTCACAGTGTTTTCCCATCATTCCTGGGTGTGTGCGGCACACACAGTGAAGGTTCTCAGGTAAGGTGGTGCAGGAAGCACTTCCTTCTTCCCTCAGGACTTCGTCAAGACCACCAGCCACTGGGGATGGCTTCTCTTGGTAGACTGGCCTCTGGTGAACCACCGGAGACTTCTGAGCCCTGTGATCACTTTTGCCAAATGACGGCAGTCCTCTGGGATTGGCTGTTTTGATCTTTGTCAGGCGCGTACAAACATGTGTCCTTCCCAGGAGCAGAGGTGGGGCGTGAGCCGAGGGGACATTCCCAGTGGGTCCCTGGAGTGGCTTGCACAGGGGGACCTTCTGTGGGAACTGCTGTGTGTTTGTGTTGGGGGGACGCTGCTTGCTCACACAGTTAAAGAGCTGAACTCCTGAGAGCAGGAGAGCTGGCCCCGCACCACAGGGAGAGTCAGGGTCCACCCGAGGTGGGTTCCTGAGCCCTCCCTTATTTCCGTCACACTCCTAAAAAGTTCCCTGCTCCTGTAGGCTGGCCTGCTCTCGTTACAGGCCTTCGGGTGGCTTGTCTGAGTGATGTGAAAGGCTGCTGTAAGGGCTGCGGCTCCTTACTGGGCTCTGTGCTGTTTAGCTCTGGCAGCTGGAGCCTCTGTTTCCTGCAGCTGGCCTCCCCCAGGCCCACGCCTGCCTGTGCTGCTGGACATTAGGATGTAGCCTCTGGCGTGGCCCGCTCTTCCCTCGTGCACATCCTGTCTCCCCTGTAGCCTGCCGGAGCTTGGTTTCTCTTCTGGCTGTGGATCCTGAGCAGTCCGTCGTTCTCCTCCATGGCCTTCCCCGTTTGCACTGAAGTCTGTGCAGGGCCAGGCCGGCTGCTTGTCTTTCGTTATTGTGCCTGGTTGTTGAACATTGGAATGTCCCATGGTGTAGAGCCGACCCACCATCTGCCCGAGGTAGTATAAGCCCTTTGAGGGCAGGGAGGATGCTGAGTTCCCCTTCCTGTGTCTGTATAAGCAGATAATGCAGGCGCAGAGTCAGGGTCAGCACTGTGAGAAGACGGGCATGCCACCATTGCCCTCAGCGGGGTGGCGGCCCGAGGTGTCCCAGTGACAGGGACAGTACATGATAGGAGCTGTCCTGAAATGTCCAGTGGACGGTGGCCACAGGAGCTGCTCAGTGTCGAGGAGGGGGTGTCTATTGTCTGACTCCCAGGAATCTGGTGGACAGCACTGTGAATGGCCCCAGGGGCATCAGAACTGCCAGTGGGGACTCAGTACAGAAGGAGTCGGTGTCGTCTTTCACCAGATACACAATCCAGATGTCACCTGTTCCGACCGTGGGTCCTTCCAGTCTGTTGTGGAGTCATGTACTTCCATCTGTGGCCTGCTCTGTGATCAGCGTCTGAGTGGCACACTGCTTGCCAGCGGGTGGTGAGAAGGACACTGTCCTGAAGAAGTGCTGAGGTGGCTCGGAGCCCGCTTCCCTGCCTGCGCCTCTGTGAACGTGATAAATGAATTTGCAGAACATAGTAGTAGTCTGCTTAGTGGAGGGGCGGGAGCAGGGAGTCACAGAAAGGAGGCCGTCACATCTCTCAAATTCCCCTTTTCCGGTTCCAGCCCCTCCGTCCCCTTCTCTCTCATTCTTTGGTCCTGCTTTGCTGTAAGGTTTTGCTCGGAGTGGCCTGAGTGCTGGACGTGCCTCAGGGACCCCTGTACCCACCCTGGGGGCCCTGTGGCCTCCTTGCCTCATCTTCCCAGAGGCTTTATATGGAGCAGCCACATGGCCGCCTTTCCGTCTGTTGTCAGGGCAGCAGGGTCCTCGGGCTGGGGCACCACCTCACCGCTCAGGGGAGCTGCTGAGGGCAGTGATTCTCCCCCTGCCTTCTGGCTACAGTGTAGAGAGGTCCCCAAGTCAGGATGGCACCAGATGCTCACCCAGACATTGCTGGGTGCAGCTTAGCGGTGTTTGCCTACACAGATGAGGCACTAGGTTTGATCCCCATCAAAACAAGTATGCATACTTACACATGTACAGATACATGCACACACGAGCACACACATGCAGTGTACTCATGTGCACACAAGCATGTGAATGCGTCTTCATCAATACTTTCTTTTAGAAGGTTCAGTGCTATCAGACACACTCATGTCGCTGTCTCTGAAGACCTTGGTGGAGCCCAGTGGCAGCTTACCCCACACCTCTGACCCTCCATCTGGAGGCCACAGTGCTCTTCTGATGGCTTCCTCAGCACCAAGTGTTAGCTTGGCTCTTTCTACCTCTCCCCTCCATCCATCCCTCCTCCCTCTCTTCCTCCTCCCCCTCTTCCTCCTCTTCATTCCTGCCAAAAGGAGGGAGTCTAGGCTGGCCTTAGCCTCCTGCCTTAGCCTTCCATACAGGATGTACCACCACACCCAGCCAACTGTCTTTTTTGTCTTTGGAGCTGGTTCCTAAAACCCCACAACCCTCTGTCTAAATGTGTAAGTGATCACAGAAAGCGCAGGAAGAGGTGGAGATGGGAGCAGATGGGGACACAGCGTTACAGCACAGGTTCCACAGGGTCGTGAGAAGTGGTTGGCTGCTTCTCGGGGCCTGGGGAAGACCTCCCTAACATGCCAGGATCCTGCCCTCAGCGCGCACACCGAGCATGCCCCCAGCTACCCTCATCTGCCCTGTCTCCAGGCAGCCCCAGGAGGTGCTTCTGGGTCAGAGAGGAGGGTTTTCTTGTGGTACCAGCTGGCATGCTTCTTCCGGTGTCTGTAGCATGGACATTCCTGCATGCTTCAGATGGTTTAGGGTAAGTCAGCGTGAGAAGCAGTCGAGCTGGCGTCCGCCTGCTGAAGCCGCAGGTGGTAAAGCTGGAGCCCGCAGATGCTGGGTGAGCTTGGTTCAGCGCGCCTCGCCCTGCAGAGGTTCTGGTGCACTGTCTGAGCAGTGCTCTTGCCTGCAGGTCCTGATCACTGTGCCTGAGACTGGTGGGAACATGGCGTGTGGCCTCGCCTGCTCCCCCGAGGACAACATGATACCTCTTCCCATCCAGGTGATGTCCTGAGGAAGCCTCGCTTCCAGAAGCCCACCACATGGCACCTGGATGACCTCTTCTTCACCCTGTACCCCTCACTGGAGAAGTTTGAGGAGGAACTTCTGGAACTGCTCATCAGCGACCACTTCCGGGAGGTATCTCATGTCTCATCCTGCTGCAGCTTAACCTGAACAGAGACGGTGCCACCTGTGGCTGGGCTGGGACAGCCAGCATCTGGTGTCGCTGGGAGTGGGGGTTCATCCTGGGAGGTGAGGTCCTGCCTTTGCCCCTTTTTTTCCTGGCTGAAGAGGGCACTTCTTTCCCTGGATTGCCAGATAAAGTGGGTCTAGGAGGTGCCATTCTCCCAGGCTGCACCTTGAGTAGACCCTCCGGTCTGTAGATGGCGCTGACAGCTTGCAACACTGATGTTCATTTCCAGAGATTGTGAAATAGTTTTCATCTAAAAGTAAATTACCTCACCACATGAGGGAAACAGAAAATACTCTGCAGCTAACAAGGACCTCTGAGGCCAGGTGGCTTATTCGAGGAGGTGACTGGAGGTGACCCCTCATGGTGGTTTCTGTCAGTGTTGTGCTCTCATGAGACACTCTGAGCCCTGCCTGTGTGACACAGCCCTATGAACTCGCGGCTGTGCCCCCCCCCCCCCCCCCCAGAGCCTATGTTGGGAGCATGTGGCTGTTCCTGTCTGTTGCTTCTGAAAACATGGGTTTGTTCAGGTGCTTGCGTGGGGCATTTGGGGGATCGCCTTGGGCAGGGGCGTTGAAGTGGCCATCACGAGGGCAGTGCATGGAGCTCACATGTTGGCCTCACTCAGGGCCGAGGCTCACCCCACCACAGGATGCACTGTGGTTCTTTCTCCAGTCAGCTTCCTGCTGCTCTGACAGCGGGCCCTCTCACATACTCTGGCAGCTTGTTCGTGTACCAGGAGAGCCTCGGAAGCCTTTGCAGTTGGGGGGCCCTGTCTCCCCTTTCTCTGAATCATTGCCCAGCTGTCCCAGCTGTGGTTAGAGTGGCCAGCCAAGCCCTGCAGTGTGACCACTGCTCCGTCCTGCCTGGGCCTGCATGGCTTCCTCCTGCCCCTTGGATGGCAGCCACGTGGAGACTCCCTCCTGCTGGGAGAATGGTTGCCCTTGTCCATCCTCTGAGCATAAAGAATACCGTGGGCAGACCTTCTTGTCCCCTCTTCGGGCCAGCGGGAGTCTTCACCTTTGAACTTTGAAACAGAAGAGAACACTTTCATCACGGAGGGTGAAAGGCTGTGTTTCCCAAGCAAACCCGCAGAAAGGTGTAGGGTGCACCAGTGGGTACGCTGTGTACATGCGTGTGTGTGTGCGCGCGTGTGTGCGTGTGCGTGTGCGTGTGCGTGTGCGTGTGTGTGTGCGCGCGCGCGCGCGCGCGCGTTGGGGAAAGGTCTCTTCCTGCTGTGTCCCTCCCTCCCAGGCCCCAGCTTGTCACCACCCTTAGATGTGCCTCTGGACAGTGTCGTCCATCTTTTCCTCTGTGTTGGTTCCTCTTGCCCGTGGCTCTGTGGTGCCGTCCACCAGCAGTTGGTGTGGCTCCTTTGCTCACGCTGCTCTGTTGTGTTCCTCGGTGTGAGTGTCCTGTGACGTATCCGTCCGTCCTGATGGATGTATGGGCCTTATTAACTTGTTGGGGACATTCTGTTCATATCTGGGCAGTTACACAGCAGGGTCTTGAGTGGGAAGAAGACCTGCAGGTTACAGGCGGTTATCCAGGGGCTAGCTGGTAGTGACACTCTTAGGTCATAGCCTTTGCCCTGCGCGTGAATCCCCTCCACGGTGACTACAGACCTGGCTTTGGGTAGTGGGCGGTAGCAGGTTTGATGCACACAGAGGCTTAAACACTTGTAATTCCTCAGGTACAGATGCTCCTGAGCGTGAGGCTCGTGGAGCCCAGCTGCCGTCACTGTGACCAGCCTGGGCTAACTCTCCTAGACTGTCTAGCATGGAGGTTGCTGAGTGTGATGCCAGGGTAGAGGTGGTGCTGGGCAGAGCCTGCTTGCTCTACCCAATTTCCAGAGGCTAACCCAGTCTTGGTGCTAGGTCTGGAAGGCTATGGTGTTCCGGTGGCACCTTCCTTGGTTGGTGGCTGTGAGTGGGTCTATGGCTTTTGTTGTAGGATGTGGTGGACTGACCCTCTAAGGAGGTGTCCTTTGCTGTGTTCTCAGGGGTCCCATAGAAAATCTTTATTTACTCTGGTCTGGGTGGTCTTTCAGAAGCATGACTCTAGCTGGCTCTGCTCCTGTTTATGACCCTCTGTGGGCTCTCGCTTCTCATGAACAGAGATCCAGACTCATCATCCTATGGATTTCCTTTCACCTTCTACCCTCACTCTGAGCTGCCTCCTTGGGCTACCTCATGGGCGTCTTGGCCCACCCTGGGCCTCTGGACATGTGCTCACACCTTCCTGCAGGTCAAGGTCAGGCCTCTCCAGAAATCACAGCTCCACTTTCTCTCATATCCACTTCCCAGGGGCACCTGGCCCTCTTCTCTGTTTGGGGATGTTCTCCGTCCCCTCTTGGGAGCATCTGCCCCGTGAGGATGGGCTGTCTGTTCAGTGTGCCATGCAATGTGTGTTAGCTGTGTCTGACATAAGCTGTTCAAGTGGTGACTCCATTGGTTCCCGTTGTATCTGGATGAGGGGCTTTTGACGCTACAGCAGGTAAGCGAGAGGGCTGAGCATGCGGCTCAAGCAGGGCCCACTTCCTTCATGCGGTTCTGACGCCTTCTGACTTTGCACAGCAGGTGGAGGGAGGGAGGGAAGGCAGAAGAACAGCTCTGTCAGGCTGGACAGTCGCACAGATACTGTGGAGGGATTTTACCGCCTTGGTGTCTTCCTGTCCACGTATCTCCACTGTTTTATTTTTGTTAACCGAAGACTAGCAGGCCGAGATTTGGCCCATTCAGCTTGATTAAATGGGCAGTGAAAAGAAGAAAGTTCAAGGTCAGGGAGTAAAGATGATGTAATTTCATAAACACTGAAGTCAGGAGGGACACCTGTCTGTTTGCAAGGGTGCCGTGCGTTTCTCCCTAAGCCGGGAGGGACACCTGTCTGTTTGTTAGGTTGCCGTGCGTTTCTTACTAGGATGGAGGTCTGTGGTGTCCAGCCATGGCTTTGGGGCAGACTCCATTTCTATCACCTTGTGACTTGTTGCCTGAGCCTGCATACTCTTCCCACCCCGCTTCCTCCTGAAGGACAGAGTGGAATCCAGGTGTGTTCCTTCCCTGCGTCCCTCTGCACCATTGGGGTGCTCATCTCAGGGAGGCGGCTCCCAGAAGGACCTGAGGTTCATGCATACGAGGTGGCTGCGTCCTGAGAATTGTCAGCTCAGCTGTCTGTGTTTCAGTGTATGCTGCCTGGGGAATACCTAATGTACCTCGTGTGCCGTGGCCTGTGGTCATCACTGTGTCCTGCGTCTGTCCTTTGAGTGGGTTCATTTACACTCAGTGTCGCTCCTCCACCGTGACCCACCCAGTCTTCTCTGGCCACTTCCTTCCCAGCCACACAGGATTCATTCTCTGTACCCTGTGTCTCTCGTAGGGGGTCAGCCTGCTGGATGGCAGCACCCTAGAGGTCCTGGAGAGGCGCCTGCACGTCTGTGTCCACAACGGCCTGGGCTTCGTGCACAGGCCACAGGTGGTTGTGCTTGTACCCGAGATGGATGTGGCCTTGACGCGCTCAGCAAGCTTCAGCAGGAGAGTCAGCAGCTCTTCTAAGAACAGGTATCTCCCCGTGCCAAGGGGCTGAGGTGAGGTGAGGACGTGGAGCATGCAGTGTGGGCTTGCTTCGCGGGTGCCTCTCCATCACACTCATCAGGCAAAGCCCCAGGGTTGTACACTTGGGAAAAGCCCCTGTTTTTGCTGTGACAACTTTGGGCTAGTGCTTTAGACGCTCCCAGCTGAGGGTCTGAAGAGCTTCTTGCACACCACCTGGATGGGCCTCACGTCCTACTCCGTGTTGAATCCCATGTGCCAGGCCCCATGCAGACATCACTGTGGGATGTGCAGAGGTCAGCTGTCACACACGAGCTCAGTGCTGGCCGGCCCCTCCCTCGCCTCTGTGCCACTCTAAGTGACTTGACTGTCTCCCCTGCAGGCTACTTCTGCGAGTCTGGAGGTGTCGCCAGTGGTAACCAGAGTGAGCACTGTGGGCTGAACAGAGTGGGCCCACTGTGTCCGGAGCCCCTGGACTGCTCCTGCTCACTGTGGGGAGGGGCACAGTGGGGTGGGAACCCGTGTTCCAGCACCGCCTGGTTTGTGTTTCCGACCAGCTCTGGAAACCAGGCTCTGGTTTTGAGAAGTCACTTGCGACTCCCGGAGATGGTGAGCCACCCAGCATTTGCCATCGTCTTCCAGCTGGAGTACGCGTTCAGCAGTCCTTCAGGAGCGGACGGCAGTGTGAGTGTCCTTTGAGTATCGGCTTTCAGAGGTCAGCTTTGTGCTGAGGGGGGCCTGGCGGGCACCCGTGTCTCTTCTGCAGTAAACGTCTAGGTGGGGCTGGGAAGCAGCCTCGCATCATCCTCGTGGGGACCGGACGTTCTGTGATGGCGGGACGCGGCCCAGGAGGCTTCATGCATCGTAACAGCTTTAATTCATAATTATTGAACTGGTGATTATTTTGAAAAATGAAGCCTCTTTACTGTGTTTTTCATTTGCTATTAAGTGTAGTAAAGTTCGAATCTGCATGAGTGATAAATGGCTTTTTATAGTGAGCTTTGCGTGCATCTACATCATAATTAAGATAAGAATTTATAGTGTTGGTTGAGAGGTGCAGTGGGTAGACAGCTCCCATGTGGACACAGATTCTCTGGGAAATGGATCATGCTGTTCTTAAGATTCAGTTTCTGTTTGGAAAAGGCCGGATCATCTAACAGCTTATGCAGTGGAAGACTGACGGGACGCGGTGGCAAGGGCCTTCATTGCTGGCCAGTTTTCTGAAGAAGCCCACCTGCCCTCTGTGCTCTTGATCTTTCCTGCTGCCGAGCTGACTCCCACGTCTTCTGCTCACACCAGGCCTTCCTGGGGTCAACCACAAGCCTTGGTCATTTTAGTGACCAGTTTATCACTTGCTGCCTGCTTGTCAGCAGGTGTCTTATCTGAAATGTGCTCTGCAGGTGCATGTGGGTGTAGGGTACCCCAGACGGGCTGTGGGAGAGCCGGCCTGTGAGGTGCTGCGAGGCAGCAGGTGCCTGGCCCAGTGCGACCTTAGCACTTAGGAGGCAGAGGCAGGAGGATCAGGTGTTCAGGGCCTTCTTCAGCTGTATATGAGTTTCTGTCCAACCTGGGCTACATGAGACCTACCCACGGCATAGCCTTGTCCACAGGCTCTGCTGGTTCCACCGCTGCCTCTGGAACTGTCACCCTCAGTTACTCATCTGGGACGTGCGTCTTCAGTTATTTATCTGGGAAGTGGACTTGCTGCTTCCTTTTCTCTCCTCTGGTTATGGATGTGTGAGTGTGCTGAGGCGGGGGCATGTCTGTGTGCACATGCGTGAGGCGCCTCAAGTTGACCACAGGAGTCTTTCTCGATTGCTCTCCACTTTATTTATCTAGCAGAATCTTTCACTGAAGCCAGAGCTCAGCAGTTCTGGCTAGTCTAGCCAGCCCACCCACCCCGGGGGTCCCCATCTCTGCTTCCTAGGTGCTGGGGTGACCGGTGTCACCATGCCTGCCTGTGCTGTTGCCAGGCTTTTGGGGACACAAGCTCCTGTCCTTGTGCTCAGCAAACGCTTCGTCTCTGGAGTCATCTCCCTACCCCCCGAATGTATTTTATTTTTTATGGAAAACTGACACGTAGACGGGGTGCAGAGCAGCACGTGACGACCCTCGTGTCCGTGTCCCATCGCCAGCTCTGTGTTCGCCGCTCTGGGCCAGTCTCGTCTGTTCTTTCTCCCAGATCACATGTCTGTAAAAACTGCCAGCCATCCCCAAAGATGGGCTCAGCTCCTCACCATGGGCGCCCCCACTGCGTGGAATGGTCAGCCTGGACGGACACTTCTCTGCCGCTCATCCCCGTGGTCACTGAAAGCTCCGCTTTGATCTAGCAATAAGATTCCCCACACAGTGTCCTCACCCAAGCCAGGCACCCCATGTTTTCCACAGTGGCTTTGCTGTGTTCTCTTGTCCCTTGTGCCAGGTTTCTGGCTTGCCGTTGTGCTTCAGAGCAGGAGCTGAGAGCCGCAATCCCCTTTTGTGAACGGTGTATCTTCAAATGGTCCATCCAGATGGGGGGAGGGGGGAGACGACCATCTGGGTCAGGGGGAGCACCGACTGAAAGTCGAATCCATTTCATTCCCAGCCTTGAGCACTTGTTCATTATTAAAAACAAACTGGCAACCGAAGCCCTGTCAATGTATTTTGTGTTTGGGGATAAATTGGGTTTGAGTTGCCCAAGAGGCAGTGACCAGGGAGATTGCATCCTTGACAGAATTCAGGGGATGGTGTACCGTACAGTCCCCTTGGAGCTGCCTCATTGTGAAGCTCTGAAGTGTGCAGCTGTGGTCCCCAGGGTGTTTGCCAACTGACCGAATGATGGCACACACTCCCCAAAGCTTGGGAACGGAGTGAGGGCCCAGCTACAGACTTTCCAGGCAGGCCTCTGTTGTGTGTTCATTCAAGGTAACTGTGCCTTCCCTAGGCTTGTAGGAATGAAAACATTGCTTTGAGTGGTGTCACGTGACAAGGTAGTCCCTCCCCAAACTGCTAAGGAGTTAAGTTCTAGTTTGTTATTTATGTATTTACTGATGTTCTTTGGTTTGACAGAGACATGAGCACATGCTGTGTGTGGTGCTGGTCTGTAGGCAGGCCCGTCTCCCGGCTGTCTCCCGGGTGATCTTTGTAGTGCTGGTACTGTCGACTTTGTATTACGTTGGCTGTAACATAATACCTCATGAAAGACACTGGAGGGGGAAAGTGATTATTGACTCCTGGTTTGAGCGTGCCCATCGCGGTAGGAAAGGCATTGTGGTGGCAATGGGTTGCCCGGATGGCTTCAGGAGCGCGAGTGAGACTGCTTGCCCACATCCATGGACCAGGAAGGGGAGGGATGGATGTGCAGTCAGCTGCCTTCTCCTTTCCCCTTTTATCCAGTCTGGACCCAGCCCATGGGTGTGTGCTGCCCACATTCAGGGTAGGTCTCATTGCCAGTTAATCCATTTGGAAAAGTGTGCCACAGGTATCTTTTGAATTTCATTTGTGATTTTGTACGTGAGTGCATGCACACACACACATGTGCATGGTCGTATGTGGAAGTCAGAGAACAGCTTTGGGAATTGGTTCTCTCTTTTCACAGTGTGGGTCCTGGGGTTCAAACTCGGAATGTCAGCGTAGGTCACAAGTGTCTTTACCTGCTGAGCCACCTGGCTGTCCCCACCAGGTGCTTCTTAATCCAATCAAGGTGAGAACTGCAATTAAGCATTGCAAACTTAACTGGGGTTTGTTTGGGCCCGTGGCTGAGGCTTCTGCCTCTGGCCTCTCTGCAGCTTGAGGCCCTGGTGATGGATGGAACCTGATTGTTTGTTCACAGGCCAGAGCCCAGGAGCACTTGCCTAGTCTACATCTGTTCCCTCTACCCAATCATTGTCGTTCATAGAACAGGGGCGTGGCCCCCACCCAGGCCAGATGGAGCCCTGGGTGTCAGAGCTGCCTGCTTGTAGCTCCCTCTGCTCTGTTGAGTCTGAGTCTTTGCTAAACACAGCTCACATTTCTTCTCGTCTCCTTTTTTTTAGGTGAGATGAGATTTGTAGCCAGGGACTGCCCTGGAGGTCCTTCTGTGATGGGCCTGTGTTTTTAGAAGATGCCTGTTTGATTTTCTGCTTAGCAGCAGTTGAAGGGCTCTTCCTTTGGTTGACTCCAGTCCCTCACACTGCATCTTTCTTCTCTGTCACTCACTGCTCAGAATGCGTGTCTGCAGAGAGCGCCTTTACATCCTGTGTTCACCCTCCCAGTGCCGCTTTTCTGAACCCTGCTTCCCTTGAGAGCACCTTACCTCCCTGGAGTCAGGAAAAGCCAAGGACCCCTGGACCTGGGAGTCAGTCAGGTGACCAAGAGCCTGTGGCCCTACCCCCCATGGCTGTGCAAACACATTGTGCCAGGCATTGTAGTAAGACTCCGTTTTTATGTGCATGGGTGGTGTGCTTGCCGGTGTGTATGTATGTTTACATATGTGTGCTCCTGTGTATGGGGGCCTGAGATTGGTGCCTGGAGTCTTCCTTAGTCATTTTCCACTCTATCCCTTGAGGCAGGGTTTCTCAGCTGTGACGAAACACCCTGACTAAAAGCAACTTGGAGAAAAAAGGGTTTATTTGGCTTACACTTCCACATCACAGTTTATCATTGAAGGAAGTCAGGGCAGGAACTCTAGCAGGCCAGGAACCTGGAGAGGGGAGCTGATGCAGAGACTCTGGAGGAGTGCTGCTTCCTGACTTGCTCTTTATGGGATCCTCAGCTTGCTTTCTTATAGAACCCAGAAACAAACCCTAGGGTGGACCCACTCACAATGGGCTGACCCCCTACATCACTTACTAATTATGAAAATGCCCTACAGGCTGTGCCTACAGCCTGATCTTGAGTTATTTCTCCACTGAGGCTTCCTTCGCTCAGATGACTCTAGCTTGTGCCAAGTTGACATAGAACTCGCCAGGACACTCACCAGTACCTAACTTGCCAGCTTGCTCCTGGGATCTCCGCCTTCTGAAGACAGGCCTCCACGTCCACCCTGTTTACGTGGGGTACTCTCGTCTCTGCAGCAGTCCTCTCCCCAGCCGCTGTGTTTGTAGTTTTTGACTTTTTGTAGTTACAAATGTGGATTTTGACTGCTTCCTACTAGATTTATCCATGGGCATTTTGTTTTCCATGCTGTTGTTCTGCGCGTGACATTTTCTGTCCTTTACATCTAACGTAACTGCAGTGCTTGTGTGGACAGTCATTATTTTGAATAGGTGGCCAGTTCTGCATGCGGCATCTTCACGGACTGTGCCTTTTCCCAAGTTAGACTGCGTCTGGAGGAGTGGAGTGGAGCAGCTGGTGCCTGGGGCCCCGCGGTGACACCACAGCATGGGCAGAGCCTCAGGTTTCAAACACTCCTGTCATGATCTCTCACATCTGCTTACTGTGGCTCTTTTGCCCGCTGCCCATCCTTGTGCGCGCACACACGTGTGTGTTTCTCTGCTCACCCTCCTCCTGCCGTCTCTTCAGCCTCGTCCTCCTCTCCTGCTTCACTTCCCGTTCAGCTGTAACCCCTGAGTGAGAGTTCCCGTCTCCTACGGCCCCTGCCTGCGATGGCCTCCTCCTGCTCCTGTCTCCTGTGACCTGACCAGGGATGAAGTTCTTGTTAGGTGCTGCTTCAGCAGGCCTTGTGGAAGGCCAGTGCACAGGACCTCACTGGGGAGGGAGAGGGA